CAGAACCACCAACACCATGAGCAGCAGCACCACCACCACAACCACTGGTGTAATATTTGGCACAGAAATAAACAGCGGAATCGTCGTCCTTGAGGTTGTTCATGCTCAGCGTCACCGAGCTCTGCCTGTTGTCCCTGGGGATCCTGACCAGGCCCTTGACCGATGGCGCGTAGTAGGTGTTGGCACCAATATAGTAGATGCTTGTGACGTATTCCAAAGCCTGCCCGGGTCTCTGGCACATGCAGAATATGGAGAAACTCCCGAAACTGAACCCGGACCCTCGGCAGAGGAGGCGCAGGGAACCCCCGGGGGGCTGGAGGTCCCCCCCGCACTCCAGCAGGGTCACGGCCACCGGGAGCCCTGCGGGACAAAGGGGAGATGGGGATGAGAAACCTGATTGGTGAAGAGTTCCCGACTTCGCGCGGCATGCTTCAAAAATGGGGCAGGACTCACATGGGTGGAGGATGATAAACTCCAAGAGTCCTGATTTGTGGCCAAGATTGAGGACTTGGGTCAAGTGTTGAGCTTTGGCCTCATCCCCATCTCCCCTTTGTCCCACAAGGCCCTGGGTGGCCGTGACCCTGCTGGAGTGCGGGGGGGGACCTCCAGCCCCCCGGGGGGTCCCTGCGCCTCCTCTGCCGAGGGTCCGGGGTCAGTTTCGGCAGTTTTGGGATGGGCAGACACCAAGGAATTCACTGGAGTACGTCACAGAGATCAACACTGGTGGCAGCACCGGCTATGCGCCGTCAGTCAACGGCCGGTTCACGATCTCCAGGGACAACGGGCAGAGCTCGGTGACGCTGACCATGAACAACCTCAAGGATGAGGATTCCGCCATCTATTTCTGTGGGAAATCTGCTGATACTGGTGCTCCTGTTGCTGTTGCTGATGGGGACCTGCGAAATCCTGGTCTCACCATCATCACTGCACCCCCAGCTGTCCCCGTTCCCCAGACCCTTGCCCAGCTCCCACCCCCTGACCCAGCCCGTGACCATTTCTCCATGTCCCTTTCCCCTCTCCGGCTCCAAACCCCAACCCTTGGCATATGATCTTTCCCCAAACTCGGCCCAAAGGTCACCGCTAGGCCTGTGGCTGGGGACACGAATTCAGTCACCGAGAGCGGGTACGAGGGCTGGGATTTGGGGGAAGGGTCTGCGATTCGGGGACATTTGGGGACACAACGATGGGGGTGGAGTCAATAGCACTGGCATCATGGTCATCTCCATCAGCCCCAGCGGCTTTGGCACAGAAACAGGATCCGGAATCCTCGTGCTGCAGGTCGATCATGGTCAGTGCTGTGAAGATCTGCCCGTTGTCCCTGGAGATCCTGACCCGGCCCTTGACCCACGGGGCGTAGTGGGTGTAACCCCCAGAGCTGTGGATCCCCGCGAGCCATTCCAGCCCCTGCCCGGTGCTCTGGCGGATCCATTGCATGGAGTGACCCCCGAAACTGAACCCGGACCGTCGGCAGAGGAGGCGCAGGGACCCCCCGGGGGGCTGGAGGTCCCCCCCGCACTCTGGCAGGGTCACGGCCTCCCGGAGCCCTGCGGGACAAAGGGGAGATGGGGATGAGAAATCTTATTGGTCGAGAGCCTTAATGTGGGTGTGGCCAGCTGGAAAAAGGTACAGGACCCACCTGGCAGGAGGATCATAAACTCCAAGGGTCCCAATTTTGGGCCAAGGGTAAGGATTTGGGTCAAGGGTTGAGCTTTGGCCTCATCCCCATCTCCCCTTTGTCCCGCAGGGCTCCGGGCAGCCGTGACCCTGCTGGAGTGCGGGGCAGACCTCCAGCCCCCGGGGGGTCCCTGCGCCTCCTCTGCCGAGGGTCCGGGTTCAGTTTTGGACAATTTTGGGATGTACTGGGTGCGGCAGGGACCCGGGCAGACGCTGGAATACATCGCGAGTATCAGCAGCAATGGTGGCAGAACTGCCTACGCGGATTCAGTCAAGGGCCGGTTCACGATCTCCAGGGACAATGGGCAGAGCTCGGTGACGCTGACCACGAACAACCTCAAGGACGAGGATTCCGCCGTCTATTTCTGCGGGAAGTCTGCTGATAATAATGCCTATGCTGGTGGTATCGTTTTAGCCACATCTCCAAAGCCCAGACCCTTCCCCTAGTCCCCTGCCCCTGACCCAATTCCTGCCCCGTGTCTCAGCCCTGAACTGGCTCTGTCCCAAATCTCCGCCATTTTCCCCCAGATTCCCAACTCTCGGCATCACCCCTTCACCCTTGGTGCCAATTTTTGTGCCAAACCCTCCGGATTCGGTGCCCCCAGCGCGGGTTTGGTGCCAGGCGTGCGGATTTGGGGCTGCCCCAGAGGGATTTATCCCCGCCCGGGAGTCTCTGTCCCAATCCCCACCGGGACGGCGCTGTGGGGACCCTTCGGGAGCCGTTGTGTTTCCCACCATCGCTCTCCTCACCGGGCTGTGGCCATGGGGAGGTGCCGGTGGCTCACGGCCCCGGCAGTACACACAGAACTCGATGGCGCCGCTCAGCGCGAGAGGTGTGTGGCCAATCACACAAAGCAAAGGCAGATTGACACGGTGGGCCAGGATCTGGCCAGTCCTCGTCAGTTTTGGGGAATTTGGTTGGGACGTGGAGCCAAGAGCCGAGGTTTGGGGTCAAGAGCTGAGATTGGGGCAGAGCCAGTTCAGAGCTGGGACACGGGGACAGGAATGGGGTCAGGGGCTGGGGATTGGGGAAGGGTCTGGGGAACGGGGACATGGGGGAAACAGCCATGGGGATGAGGTCAGAACGACAGGCTACATTCTCCCAACCAGCACGATCATCAACACACTTGGCATAGAAATAGGATCCGGAAACCTCGACCGTGAAGTTGTTCATGGTCAGCGTCACCGAGCTCTGCCCGTTGTCCCTGGAGATCCTGAAAAGGCCCTTGACCGAATCCACGTACCCGGTCAAAACACCATTGTAGCTGATACTCGCGAGCCACTCCAGCCCCTGCCCAGGTCTCTGGCTCACCCAGAACATGTCGCTTCCAAAATCAAACCCGGACCCTCGGCAGAGGAGGCGCAGGGAACCCCCGGGGGGCTGGAGTTCCCCCCCGCACTCCAGCAGGGTCACGGCCGCCCGGAGCCCTGCGAGACAAAGGGGAGATGGGGATGAGGAACCTGATTAGTCGAGGGCCTCAAAGTGGGCAAGGCCAGCTGTAAAAAGGGGCAGGACCCCCTTGGGAGGAGGATGATGAACTCCAAAGGTCCCAATTTGGGGCCCAGAGTCAGGATTTGGGTCAAGGGTTGAGCTTTGGCCTCATCCCCATCTCCCCTTTGTCCCACAAGGCCTCGGGTGGCCGTGACCCTGCTGGAGTGCGGGGGAGACCTCCAGCCCCCCGGGGGTTCCCTGTTCCTCCTATGCCGAGGGTCCGGGTTCAGTTTTGACAGTTTCGAAATGGATTGGGTTCGACAGAGACCTGGACAGGGACTGGAGTGGGTTGGAAGCATCAACAGTGGTGGCAGCACCTACTACGCACCATCGGTCAAGGGCCGGGTCACGATCTCCACGGACAACGGGCAGAGCTCGGTGACGCTGACCATGAACAGCCTCAAGCACGAGGATTCCGCCACCTATTTCTGTGCCAAAACCACTGTTACTGGAAATGTTGCTCGTGCTGATGCTTTTGACCCCGTCCCCTTCATCCTTTCCCCCCTTGTCCCCGTTCCCCAGACCCTTCCCCAATCCCCAGGCCCTGACCCCATTCCTGTCCCCGTGCCCCAACCCTGCCCTGGCTCTGCCCCGCATTCTCAGCTCCTGGCCCCACACCTCAGCTCGGGGCCCACTCGGGGCCATTTTGGCTCCTGAGCTCTCCTTGGCCATTCTGACCCTGCCCTTGACCGATGGAACGTTCCAGGTGACTCCACCCTTGCACCCCTCTGCTTCTCTCAGCATGGTGCCCATGGTTCGAGATCAATTTCAACAATTTCATCTCCTCTAACTTTCATGAGTTTCGGGAAAAATAAAAGGGTTTTTTCTCCATAGCTCGCAGAGAGGATTCCAGCCCAGCCCCAAGGAGCAGCTCCAGACTCCGCGGCCGCTGAGGGAGAAGTGAAGCCCCAGGTGGGAGCGTGGGTGGGAGGGAGGGAGGAGCAGACGCCGCGATTTTGGGGCTCTGCAGCCTCCCCCCTCTTCCTGCCCGGCAGCTGCCGGGGCCCGGCCGGGGCAGGAAAGGAAACAGAAAGTTCCTGGTTTTGGTCATTGTGAACATCTGTGTTTGGCAGAGGGCAGCTCAGCCTGTGGGCTCTGCGGCAGAGTTCCAGCGGCACAAAAAGCTTTGTGTGCAAAGGGCCATGGAGCGATCCCTACTCCACACTCGGACGGAGGCAACTGGGCGAGATTGGGGTGGAATGGGGAAAATTGTGGGGAAATGGAGAGTTTGGTCTGCAGGGGCAGACTTTGGGGGAAAATGGTGAAGATTTGAGGAGAAGGGCTGGGATTTGGACGACGTATCTCTGGGATTGGAAAACTTGATGACCATCATGGTCACTGCCAGGATTGATGCCGAAACCGGCGTCAATAGCATTGCCAGCGTAACCATTGCAAAGTTTGATACAGAAATAAACGGTGGAATCCTCGTCCTTGAGGTTTTTCATGGTCAGCGTCACCGAGCTCTGCCCGTTGTCCCTGGAGATCGTGAACCGGCCCTTGAATGACGGCGCGTATCTGGGAGTGCCGCCATCACTGGTGACACTCGCCACAAACTCCAAACCCTGTCCCGGTCTCTGGCGGATCCAGGCCATCCCAAAACTGATGAAATAGAACCCGGACCCTCGGCAGAGGAGGCGCAGGGACCCCCCGGGGGGCTGGAGGTCCTCCCCGCACTCCAGCAGGGTCATGGCTGCCCGGAGCCCTGCGGGACAAAGGGGAGATGGGGGTGAGTGAAGGAATCCACCCAAATGTTGATTCCTGCATGCGGATCCTGATGTTGACCCCAAATTGGGACCCTTGGACCGCCCCATCCTCCTCCTGCAACTCTTGCCAGTCATCCCAGGTGGATCCCACACCCTTCTTCTGGAATGGCAGCGCCCACTTTGACTGCACAACCAATGGGTCTCATCATCCCCATCTCCCCTTTGTCCCACAGGGCTGCAGGCGGCTGTGACCGTGCTGGAGTGCGGGGGGGACCTCCAGCCCCCCGGGGGCTCCCTGACGTTGCTGTGCCGAGGATCCGGGTTCAGTTTTGGGAGTTTCTGCATGTTCTGGGTGCGACAGAGATCCAGGCAGGGGCTGGAATTCGTCGCAGGGATCAAGGACAACAGTTGCAGCATCGCCTACGCGCCATCGGTCAACGGCCGGTTCACGATCTCCAGGGACAACGGGCAGAGCTCGGTGATGCTGACCATGACCAACCTCAAGGACGAGGATTCCGGATCCTATTTCTGTGCCAAATGCGTTGATGGTGGTTGTGCAAATAGTCATGGTACTGTTGGTCTTGCATTTATTGCTGGTTCTGGTCTTGTTCCCAAATCCCTCCACTTTGTTCCCAAATATCCCATAGTCCTCTGATCTCCTCACAATCAGCCCTTTCCATCAAATCTCAGTCATTTTACCCTAAAGTCTGCCCCTGTTGCCCCAACTTCCGGATTTCTCCCAATTTTTCCCATTTCACCTAAATCTCCCCCAGCTCCCAGGCCCTCTTTGGAGGAGGCCTGAACTGGAGCCAGGGGTGAAGGTTTGGGGCCAATGGTTGAGTTTTGGGGCAGGAGCAGGGGAGGGTTTGGGGTCAGTGCTGACCATTGGGGCAAATGGGGACAAAGGGTAAAGGGCTGGGTCAGTGGGTGAGGTTTGGGATGAAAAGCAGAACTCTGGAGACTCAATGATGGGAGTGGGATGAAAGGCAGGATCTTGAGACCATCAGGGGCATTGCCACCATTAGCAGCAGCACCATAACCACAAGCAGCCCTGGCACAGAAATAGGATCCGGAATCCTCCACCTTGAGGTTGTTCATGGTCAGCGTCACCGAGCTCGGCCCGTTGTCCCTGGAGATTGTGAACCGGCCCTGCACCGATGGTGCGTAGTAGATGGTGCCACCACCACTGCTGATACTTCCAACCCATTCCAGCCCCTGCCCGGGTCTCTGGCGGATGCAGAACATGGTAAAACTGCCAAAACTGAACCCGGACCCTCGGCAAAGCAGGCTCAGGGACTCCCCGGGGGGCTGGAGGACCCTCCCACACTCCAGAAGGGTCACAGTCGCCCGGAGCCCTGCGGGACAAACGGGAGATGGGGATGAGTCCAAAGCTCAAACCTTGACCCAAATCCTGACCCTTGGCCACAAATTGGGACCCGTGGAGTTCATCATCCTCCTCCCAGGTGGGTCCCAATCCTTTATCAAGCTTGACCCTCACAGTTTTTGGCCCTCGACCAATCAGGTTTCTCATCCGCATCTCCCCTTTGTCCCGCAGGGCTCCGGGTCGCCGTGACCCTGCGGGAGTGCGCGGGGGACCTCCAGCCCCCCGGGGGGTCCCTGACGTTGCTGTGCCGCGGGTCCGGGTTCAGTTTCGGTGATTATGGAATGTACTGGGTCCGGCAGAGACCCGGGCAGGGTTTGGAATACATCGCAGGGATCTACAGCAGTGATGGCAGCACCTGGTACGCGCCATCGGTCAAGGGCTGGTTCAGGATCTCCAGGGACAACGGGCAGAGCTCGGTGACGCTGACCATGAACAATCTCAAGGATGAGGATTCCGGATCCTATTTCTGTGCCAGATCTGATGCTGGTTATGCTGATAATCCCGGTCGTAGTGACGGTGCCATCCCCATCTCTTTGTCCCATCCTGTCCCCCTGCCCCAAACCCCCAGCCCACACCCAGCCCTTCACTATTGATCCCAACCTTGCTCTGCCTCGGACCCAATTCTCACCCGATGACCCCAAACCACAACTCCTGACCCCAAATCTCCTGTTTCTGCCCCAAAACTTTGCTCTGAATGTCGGGGTTTGAGGTCCAGGGTCCCAATTTGGGTCAGAATTGGGGATTTGTGTCAGTGGTGGCTGCTCTGGGCCAGCAGTGCAGATTTGGGCAGAGTTGGGCGAGTTCAGCCCAGGGATCCTGGCAGAAGGGCCGGGGCCCGCCCAGGAGCCAAAATGGCCCCGTATGGGCCCCAGGCTGAGGTGTGGGGCCAGGAGCTGAAAATTTGGGGCAGAGCCAGGGGAGGGTTGGGGCAAGGGGACAGGAATGGGGCCAGGGGCTGGGGACTGGGAGAAGGGGCTGCGGAATGGGGGCAGGGGGGTACACAGGGATGAGGACGCGTCAGAAGGATCAGCAGCAACAGCCCAACCACCATTAGTACGACCAGATTTGGCACAGAAATAGGTGGCGGAATCCTCGTCCTTGAGGTTGTTCACGGTCAGCATCACCGAGCTCCGCCCGTTGTCCCTGGAGATCCTGAACCGGCCCTTGAACGAATTCGTGTACTCGGTCCAACCACCAGTGTTGGTGATCCCAGCGACGTATTCCAGCCCCTGCCCGGGTCTCTGGCGCACCCAGCCCATCCCAAAACTGCCAAAACTGAACCCGGACCCTCGGCAGAGGAGGCGCAGGGAACCCCCGGGGGGCTGGAGGTCCCCCCCGCACTCCAGCAGGGTCACGGCCGCCCGGAGCCCTGCGGGACAAAGGGGAGATGGGGATGAGGCCAAAGCTCAAACCTTGACCCAAATCCTGACTCTTGGCTACAAACTGGGACCCTTGAAGTTCACCATCCTGCTCCTGCAACTCCTGCCAGTCATCCCAGGTGGATCCCACACCCTTCTTCTGAATTGGCGGTGCCCACTTTGGGTCCACAGCCAATTCATCTCCTCATCCCGATCTCTCCTTTGTCCCGCAGGGCTCTGGGCGGCCGTGACCTTGCTGGAGTGTGGGGGGAACCTCCAGCCCCCCGGGGGTCCCTGCGCCTCCTCTGCCGAGGGGCTGGGTTCTGTTTCGGGAGTTTCTCCATATTCTGCATGTGCCAGAGACCCAGGGAGGGGCTGGAATTCATCGCGTGGATCAGGAGAGATGGTTCCAGCACCATCTAAGCGCCGTTGGCCAAGGGCCAGTTCAGGATCTCCAGGGACAACGGGCAGAGCTCGGTGATGCTGACCATGAACAACCTCAAGGACGAGGATTCTGGTTCCTATTTCTGCGGGAAAGCTGCCTATGGTACTTGGGGTGCTGCTGCTGATGGTATTGACCCCATCCCAATGGCTCTGTCCCACCTCTCCCGGTTCCCCAGACCCTTCTCCCAAACTCTGCCCCTGATGCCATTTCTGACCCCATCTCCCAACCCTGCCCTGGCTCTGCCCCAGATTCTCAACTCTCGTCCACAAAGTTGACTGAAATCTTAACCCATGACCAGCAGTATCCACTTTCAGAATCAAGTTTTGGGGCACAAAGAGGAGATTTGGGGTCAGGAGTTGTGGTTTGGGGTCAGCGGGTGAGAACTGGGGCCGAGGCAGGGCAAGGTTGGGATCAATGGTCAAGGGCTGGGTGCAGGCTGGAGGTTTGGGGGAAGGGTCTGGGCAATGGGTACAGCGGGACACGAGGAGATGGGGACAGCACGAGCACCGTCAATATAATCAGCAGGAGCACCACCACCACCAGAAGCTTTGACACAGAAATAGTTGGCGGAATCCTCGTCCTTGAGGTTGTTCATGGTCAGCGTCACCGAGCTCTGCCCGTTGTCCCTGGAGATCCTTAACCGGCCCTTGACCGGATCTGCGTAGTAGGTGCTGACACCACTGCTGCTGATACTGGCGATGTATTCCACCGTCTGCCCGGGTCTCTGTTGATGCCAGCCCATCCTAAAACTGCCAAAATCGAACCCGGACCCTCGGCAGAGGAGGCACAGGGACCCCCCGGGGGACTGGAGCTCCACCCCGAACTCCAGCAGGGTCACGGCCGCCCGGAGCCCTGCGGGACAAAGGGGAGATGGGGATGAGAAACCTGATTGGTCAAGGGCCTAAAAGCAGGTGTGGCCAGCTGGAAGAAGGGGCAGGACCCAGCTGGGAGGAGGATGATGAACTCCAAGTGTCCCAGTTTAGGGCCCAGAGTCAGGATTTGGGTCAAGGGTTGAGCTTTGGCCTCATCCCCATCTCCCCTTTGTCCCGCAGGGCTCTGAGCGGCCGTGACCCTGCTGGAGTGCAGGGGGGACCTCCAGCCCTCCGTGGGGTCCCTGCGCCTCCTCTGCCGAGGGTCCGGGTTAGATTTCAGCAATTTTGACATATACTGGATCCGACAGAGACCCGGGCAGGGGCTGGAATGGCTCGCTGGAATCTACAAAACTGGTTCCAGCACCTACTACGTGCCATTGGTCAAGGGCCGGTTCACGATCTCCAGGGACAATGGGCAGAGCTTGGTGATGCTGACCATGAACAACCTCAAGGACGAGGATTCTGCCACCTATTTCTGTGCCAGATGTTACAGCAGTAGTTGTGGTAATGGTGCTTATGCTTATGGTGTTGATGGTGGTTGTGGTCCCAAGCCCTCTCCTCTCTCTCCCCAAATATCTCAAAATTCTCTGATCCTTCCCCAAAATCCCCTCACCTATTTCTCAAATCTTGACCATTTCCCTCAAATGCCACCACCACTTCCCCAATTCCCAAATTCCCCCAATTTTCCCCATTTCTCCCCAGTCTTGCCCTTCCCCTTTGTCCCAGTGCGGAACGGGGATCACTCCAGGGCCCTTTGCACACAAAGCTTTTTTGCAGCCGGCGCTCTGCCGCAGCGCCCCGAGGCTGAGCTGCCCTCTGCCAAACACAGATGTTCACAATGACCAAAACCAGGAACTTTCTGTTTCCTTTCCTGCCCCGGCCGGGCCCCGGCAGCTGCCAGGGAGGAAGTGGGGGGAGGCTGCGGAGCCCCAAAATTGCGGCGTCTTCTCCTCCCTCCCTCCCTCCCTCGCTCCCACCTGGGGCTTCACATCTCCCTCAGCGGCCTTGGTGTCTGGGGCTGCTCCTTGGGGCTGGGCTGGAATCCTCTCTGGGAGCTATGGACATGGTGACAATGCTGGTGGTGGCCCCAAACCCCCATCCCTGGCTCCCCAAATGTCACAAAATCCCTAAAATCCTTGCCCAAATTCCAACCCTTGACCCATTCTTGACCTTCTCCCCCAGTGTCCACCATCATTGCCCCAGCTTTCGACTTTATCCCAGTTTTTCCCATTTCACCCAAATCTCTCCCAGTTCCTGGGCCCTGATTGGAGGAGGCCTGATCTGGAGGCCAGGGGTGAAGGTTTGGGGCCAATGGTTGAGTGTTGGGGCAGGAGGAGGGGAGAGTTTGGGGTCAGTGCTGACCATTGGTGCAAATGGGGGAGATTTGGGACAAAGGGTCAAGGGCTGAGGTTTGTGGGGGAAGAGTCTGGGTCTGGGGACAGGTGGGACTTGAAGGTTGGTGTGGATCCACAACTGCTGTCTTCATCAGAAGCAGCAGCACTCCAATCATTATCATAGTCAGATTTGGAGCAGAAATAGGATCCGGAATCCTCGTCCTTGAGGTTGTTCATGGTCAGCGTCACCGAGCTCTTCCCATTGTCCCTGGAGATCCTGAACCGGCTCTGCACCGATGGCGCGTACGCCGTGTAGGAACTACTGCTCCAGATCACTGCAACATATTCCCGCACCTGCCCGGGTTTCTGACCCAGCCAGAGCATGGAGAAACTCCTGAAACTGAACCCAGACCCTCGGCAGAGGATGCACAGGGACATCCCGGGGAGCTGGAGGTCCCCCTCGCACTCCAGCAGGGTCACAGCATCTGACTCCATGATTCAGAATGCTGAACTATTGCTCTATTAAATCTCTACTACATTACACTAATATTATATTTTATTACATTAATACTACTTTATATCTCAATATTACTATATTACATCTCATTAATAGTATATTATATCTCCTAATACTATATTATATCACATTAATTCTATATTATATCTCATTAATACTATACTATATCTCATTAATACTGTATTACATCTCATTAATACTATATTATGTCTCATTAATTCTATATAACATCTCATTTTTATTATATTATATCTCATTAATGCTATATTATATCTAATTATTGCTCTATCATATCTCATTAATGCTATATTATATCTCTTTAATTCTCTATTATATCTCATTAATGCTATATTACACCTATACTAAAGAGATACTAAAAGAATTCCGTACAAAAGACCCTAAAATGTCCTGAAGAAACCCCGCGAGTGACTGACAGAGCCAGGTCACGGCTTGGAGCCCATTGGCCAAGGAAACAAAACAATCTGCAGCAGAACCCAACTGGTAAATCCCTGGAGGGGAATAATCCCCCTGACACATTCCACACCTGCAGAAACAGCAAGAGCAGCGAGGAGAGATGGGAATTGTTTCATCTTCATCTTCTCTTTGTGCTGCTCCAGGAAAAAAAATGTGTGAGAAAGAGAGAGACAGAGAGAGAGAGGGAGAGAGAGGGAAAGAGAGGATGGTTTCTGACTCTGTGTAGGAAACGAGAATGGCACAGCCGGGACCCGTGCCAATCTCCCTTCTGTCCCGCAGGGCTCAGGGCAGCCGTGACCCTGCTGGGGTCCGGGTGGAACCTCCAGCCCCCCAGGGGGTCCCTGCGCCTCCTCTGCCGAGGGTCCGGGTTCAGTTTTGGGAGTTTTGGAATGAGCTGGGTCCGCCAGAGACCCGGGCAGGGGCTGGAATGGGTCGCGAGTATCCACAGCAGTGGCAGCGCCTACTATGCGCCATTGCTCAAGGGTCGGTTCAGGATGTCCAGGGACAACGGGCAGAGCTTGGTGACGCTGACCATGAACAACCTCAAGGACGAGGATTCCGGATCCTATTTCTGTGGCAGAAGTGTTGTTGGTACTGCTGGTTGGGGTGCTGCTGCAGGTATTGGTCACTCTCATGTTTCGGTTGCATTTGGCTGTGTTCCTTTTCCCCGGTCCCCACCTATCTCCATTCTCTGGACCCTCCCCCAAAACCCCAAGCCTGGACCCCATTCCTGTCCCCATGTCCCAGTCTTGGAGTGGTTCGGCCTGAAATCTGCTCTCTGCACATTGCCACAAATTTGACTCAAAATTTAACCCTTGGCTTGAAGTATCCACTTTTATAACAAGGTTTTGGGGCACAAAGAGCAGATTTGGGGTCTGGAGTTGTGCTTTGGGGTCAGCGGGTGAGAACTGGGCCCGGGCAGAGCAAGGTTGGGATCAATGGTCAAGGGCTGGGTGTGGGCTGGGGGTTTGGTGGAAGGGTCTGGGCAACGGGGACGGGGGGGACACGGGGATGGGGATGGGGACAGCAAGGCCATCGTCAATACGATGAGCACTTTCAGCCCAACCAGCACCGGAACTCTTGGCACAGAAATAGGTGGCGGAATCCTCGTCCTTGAGGTTGTTCATGGTCAGCGTCACCGAACTCTGCCCATTGTCCCTGGAGATCGTGAACCGGCCCTTGACCGACGGATTGTAGTAGGTGCTGCCACCAGTGTTGTAGATGCCTGCGACGTATTCCAAACCCTGCCCGGGTTTCTGGGGGATCCAGAACATTCCATAACTCCCAAAACTGAACCCGGACCCTCGGCAGAGGAGGCGCAGGGACCCCCCGGGGGGCTGGAGGTTCCCCCCGCACTCCAGCAGGGTCACGGCGGCCCGGAGCCCTGCGGGAGAAAGGGGAGATGGGGATGAGGCCAAAGCTCAACATTGACCCAAATCCTGACTCTGGGCCCAAAATTGGGACCCTTGGAGTTCATCATGCTCCTCCCAGCTGGGTCTAACCTCTTTTTCCAGCTGACCACGCCCACTTTTAGCCCCTCGACCAATCAGGCTTTTCATCCCCATCTCCCCTTTGTCCCGCAGGGCTCCGGGCGGCCGTGACCGTGCTGGATTGCGGGGGGGAACTCCAGCACCCCAGGGGGTCCCTGACATTGCTGTGCCGCACTCTGGGTTCAGTTTTGGGAGTTATTGAATGTTCTGGATCTGCCAGAGACCTGGGCAGACGCTGGAATACATCGCCAGTATCAGCAGCAGTGGTGGCAGCACCGGCTATGTGCCGTCGGTCAAAGGACGGTTCAGGATCTCCGGGGACAACGGGCAGAGCTCGGTGACACTGACCATGAACAACCTCAAGGACGAGGATTCCGGATCCTATTTCTGTGCCAAACATGCTGGTAGGGGTTATGGTGATGGTGCTGCTGCTTATAATGACGATGGCTGTGGTGGATCCATCCCCATCTCTGTGTCCTCACCTGTCCCCAAACCCAGACCCTTCCTTCAAATTGTCCTCAAACCTCAGCCCTTGACCCTTTGTCCCAAATCTCCCCCATTTGCACCAATGGTCAGCACTGACCCCAAACCCTCCCCTGTTCCTGCCCCAAATCTCAACCATTGGCCCCAAATATTCACCCCTGGGCTCCAGTTCAGGCCTCCTCCAATAAGGGCCCAGGGAGCTGGGGTATATTTGGGAGAAATGGGCAAAATTTGGAAAACATCAGGAATTCCGGCAGCAATAGTGGAGACTGGGGAGTAAGGTCAAGAATGGGGTCAAGGGTTGGGATTTGGGAGAAGGATTTTGGGAAATTTTGGGAACACGGGCTGCGGGCTTGGGGCGATGCTGAGGATTGTCACCATAAGCAACAGCAGCCCCATTCCAACCACCATCACTGTATCTGGAACAGAAATAGGATCCGGAATCCTGGTCCTTGAGGTTGTTCATGGTCAGCGTTACCAAGCTCTGCCCATTGTCCCTGGAGGCCGTGACCCGGCCTTTGACCGATGGCGTGTAGTAGGTGCTGCCATCGCTTTAGAACCCTCCGATGTGTTCCAGCCCCTGCCCGGGTCTCTGGCGGAACCAGCCCATCCCAAATTGTCCAAAATTGAACCCGGACCCTCGGCAGAGGAGGTGCAGGGACCCCCCGGGG